TTCAGAGAAACACGGGCCACGAGAAAAGTTTGCCTACAACTCTGGTCTCCTGCTATTCAGCTCCCAACAGTTCACATCTCCACCTTCCATCCAAAACAACATTTTTTAATCTTCTCATAATATGGAAATCTCTACAGCCATTTCATCATTTCCCCTGCCCTGACCTCCCTCAAACAAAAAAAAAAATCAAATGCTCTGTTATCAGTATAACAAAGCAAAATAGATACCTGAAAGCTTCCGAAAGTCCCCTAGTTTATGGGAACTTACATGTTTACCCATTTCTAGAAAGATCAGCTATGACCATATTCAAAATCTTACCTTTGATCCCTTTTGCACAAAAAGTTTCTGATTAAATTAGGGTTACTAGATGGTAGTAAAAATAATAATTCTATCATCCCCATTCCTATTCTATAATACTGAACTTTAGAGTCAAATTTCCACCATTCATTGGGCCAAGAGCCATTTTGTAAAGCATGACCTTTCACAGAGGTTGGGAGGGGATTTTGAAGGCATTAGCCAAAAGTAGGAAAAAGATAAACTCTCAGACCTATAATTCTAGCTATTCAGAAGGCTGAGAGCTGAGGATTCGGAAGTTCAAAGCCTGTCAGGGCAGGAAAGTCCATGAGATTCTCACCTCTAACTAACCACCAAAAAAACCAGAAGTAGTATTGTGACTCAAGTGGTAGAGTACTAGCCTTGAACAAAAAAAGTTCAGCGGCAGCACTTAGGCCCTAAGTTCAAGCCCCAGGACCAAATAACAACAACAAAAAGTGAGTCTCTGCCTTCCCCTCTTTCTCACAAGACAATAACCTGTCGTTGATGTGTGTTCCAACTTCAGCTGGAAACACTAGAAGAGGCAAAAGTCTGAAAAAGGATTCACATGCAAACATCAAGCAAATCAAGCAAATATTTCAGGACAGTTCTATGATGGCCCAGAAGTTGAGGGAAGATTCCCTAAGAATCTATTTCCAATGATATTTGCATACGTGTCTGTGGGCCAATGAGTGTCAGAATGAAAATCTCAGCACATAAAACACTTGAGCCCTAAATTCCTTTGGTAAGCAAAGATTTGGGATGAAGCAAGTGTCCTTTGGAGCTCTAATGAACATTACAATGAGTTTCAGAATGTGACTGGGCCGTGCCAAGCTGATGAGCTGGCTGACTGAAGGGTAGCTTTTTAAAAAGCCTTTGGTATGCCAGAGACCTAACTTTGAGGTCTTTCTCTCTCTCTGGCAACAGCTAACAGTATCACTAACACCTAAAAAAGAATGTAAGCATCTGCAGGCAGTCACCACTCAGCTTTATATGTCAACAATCCTTAAAGAGGAAACACAGACCTGGAGCCAGAGCCTTGGCTTTCTTGCCAGGAAATTCTATTCAACTACTTTACCGTAACACCTTCACCCCCGAATTCTTCATAAGCACAGTGCAAGTCAGGGACTAAAGTATACCTATTCCTGCCTTTGTAAGTCTACACGTGTTTATAATTTGGGATTGCTATGTGAAAACATACTTCCCTATTTATCTTCGAGTCTAGCAGTTGGGCCATTTTATTGGATTGGCTTCTCAACATCAGGTCATTAAGACCCAAGCCACAGCATGGGTTCCGGGCATGGAAAACCCCTGGGCTACAATTCTCACATCACCGTGGCTTCTGCCACTGCTGACTTCATGATCCATAGATGCTCACTGGCCTGTCAACCCTCAAACAAAGTACAAGCCAACCTTGAAGTCTTCGGGTTCACTTGAGAAATTCTCAGGCCTCTCCTGCCTGGCATGAATATCAGGAAGAGGAAAAGGTCATGTGGTAAAGTGTACTCACAGAAAAGTCTCATTCCTACTAAGCCAAGATGGCCTCTGCCTGCCAGGCGCTGGTGGCTCACACCTGTAATCCTAGTTACTCAAGAGGCTAAGATCTGAGGATCATGGTTCAAAGGCAGCTCCGGCAGGAAAGTCCATGAGACTCTTATCTCCAATAAGCCACCAGAAAACCAAGTGGTAGAGTGCTCGCCTTGAGCTGAAGAGCTGAGAGACAGCATCCAGACCCAGAGTTCAGGCCCCATGACCGGAAGAAAAAAAATAGGCCTCTGCCATCTTCAGAGCAACCACTTATTTGAAATTCCTTCATGCCAAAGAAAAAGAATTAATTTCTTTTTTAAACCTACCAGAAAGTTGCAAGAATATTACCAGAACTGTCTATCTTTTATTTAAATTTAACATACTACCACATTTCCTTCCTTTATCTTTCATCTCTTTATCTCTTATCTCCAGTTCCCTCTGCATATAAATTATATACATACATTTTGCTTAAGTTTTAAAATTAGTTGTATATATGATGACATTTCATCTCTCAGTACATCAATATCCTGTTTTCTAAGGTCAACAATACTACTATATACACAGCAGACTATTCATTCACGCACACAAGGACTTCAACACAGAGCTTATTATTACCTGATATTCAATCTACACTCAAATTTCCTCCGTGGTCCCATAGTAGCCATTATAGTGTCTTTTTCAGTTATGGATTATCCCCTGCCTTTGGCTATCAGATCTCCTTAGTCATTTTTAATCTACAGCAGTTTTCGGTCCTTTTTGGCTAGGGGAGTTGATGTGAAGCATACTGATAGTGTTGAAAAATATAGGCCAGCTTTGCAATATGAAAATCTGGACTTGACATTTCAGAACTGTGATTTCTTCGTGCATCACTAGGAGACCTTGTCATTTAAACTCATTACTGGTACTGGTTAAGTTTGATCAGGGCCAAGTAGCTACTGAAAGTCAAAGTGTCTGAACATGGATATGTAAGCATGTATAAACCTTTAGTTTCAAACTGCTAGCAACAGTTGTTCAAAATCTTATTCCCCAAACTATGTTTGAAGAACTGACTTTTCTTCTCTTGTGTATTAGCCTCTTTTCTCCTGTATCAGAGGATACTGGCTGTAACTGTCAAGAAGGATCTAGCAGACCACAAATACTCAAGGTTTCACAGAGGCAGTGTTGTGTAAGAGCTTCATAAATGACTAAGGTTTGGTCAAGAATAGCAGCAAGAGAATACTACATTATATGCAAAAGAAGTATCAGGAGAAATGGCACCATATAGGGGTGTGAATTTAATCCATTCATAGGCTAAACAGAAATTTGTAAAAAATAATTCACATGCATACAAATATTCACATATTGATATTCATATATTATAATAGTAACATGTTTATTACTTATTTTATGAAGTTACTTGAATCTATTCCTCCTAAACTTAACCATTTACCTACATATTAACTTATTTAGCTCTATGGGTGTGGCAGACAAAATTAGAAGGATTTTTAATGACCAATCACCAACTCATTACCAACATAGAAATGAAAGGCATCCATAGAAATAGAAATTCTTAAAATAAAACAAACATCCAGTTCATTCACCAAGTTGATACCATATCCCTTCCTAGTAGGACCCCCCACAGGTCTCAAACACAATAGTTTCTTTCACATCTAATTTTAACTTGTCATTGTGATATGGCTAAGAAACTCTAAAACAATCAGTAAGGTCTATGTGGGATCCTGCTTAAATTCTTGACATTTTTCTCATTGTTTTCTACAAAAACACTCACAGAGAAGGCCATAAAAATGGAAACAATTAGTGAGCCATTACCAGGCCTCAAAAAACCCCAGCTTTGTGTGTGTGACCATGTACCTTATGTGTGTGTTTATGCATGCACACCAAGTTCCTTTCTGAATTATTACTTGATTGTTTTCCTGATCTCCCACCTTTCCCCCCACCCCCAATTCTTTTCTTCTTTTTTTCATTTTTTTTATTGTGAAAATACTGTACAGAAGGGTTACAATTACATGGGCAAGATAATGAGTACATTTCTTATTAAGCAGTGTAGCCTCCTCCTTTTTCCCCTTCCCATTCCTTCCCATCCTCTTCACTCCCCCCTCTCCCCACCAAAGTTGTAAAGTTCGATTTCAACATAAGGACTTGTACATCTCATTGTTGCAATGGATCCACCTGTATCCCTATTTAAACGATTTGTTTTTTTCCTTCCCCTCCACAAATTATATCAACATCAGTGAAAGCAGGGGTTATACCGTGGGGGAGGGACATACAAAGTAACAAAGAAATAATCTTATTAATGTGTTAGAAACAATCACATGAAAGAAAAAAAAACATTTGAATACATATCTTAGGGTTCATTTCCCTAACATCAACTTATCTGACCTTTTCTGCTTGACTCAGACATATACTAGTTATTGCAAATAAGGGAAACCATGGGACCTATGTTTCTTTGTTTTCCCCCCTTTTCTAAATGAAAGGCAGCTTCAAAGTAATGAAATTAGTTGCCAAGAGTTGTAAAGCATATTGGTGCATGAAAAACAAAAACAAAAAAAACAAAACAAAAAACCCTCCTTCTTCTGATCACATGTGAACAAGTGATCTATGGACCTGACTTGGACAGGTCTGGAAGGGCCAGGGTTCTACTTAAACACTTCTTATGACATTGGACCGCCTAGTCCCGCACTGTATCTTTAGAATTTGTTCATTTACAAATAGAACTTCGGTATTTAAGCCAAAGTAGACTTCCAATATTGAAAGCAGCAATTTACTGTGAAACGGCTGCTTTCTCTCGGAATTCTTTCTCTCTCTTTCCCTCCATGATACAGAATGCAGTGAAGTACCAGAATGGGAACATGTAATTAAAATCACATTCCTCTCCTGAGGTCAACCCAATTATCAGCCTCTTACCCCAAAACAAATTTACCTCTTTAAGATTGAAGGACTTTATCACTCATGGAGAAAAAATATAAACAAAGATTAAGATGCCATCTGTACATCACTGGAATTTTTCATTTTTAAGTGACCTTTTAGTTTAATGGATTTAGTGCCTTCCCATTCAAGTAGAATATGTATTACAAGAGAGAGCTGTAACAAATGGTACTGTCATGACCCTTAGGTTAAAGCAAAGGAATATTGGGAAATAAATCTCAATTCTGGATACTCACCAATCCTGCAATGGGGGTAGGCAATCTATTGATCTTTCTAACAAGTCCTGGCTTTATAGCATTCAGCAACCTGTCATGAAAAAGGCAGAATGTCAAGTGAGATATAAGCAAGATGGATCACGCAAATCACCTTCATCCGGGGCTACAGTTAAATTGCTGAATAGGAAAAGCAGTGAATTTAAAGCATGCAGTAAATCTCAATAATCTATCAGCCTTCACACATATCAAGCAAAGAGATCTGCCAACATCTAGTTCATCCATGACAGGTGAAGTTTTAGAATTTGGAAATGTTAGGAAAGAAGGAAGAAGAAAGAGACTAGGAAGTGAATGGACAAGGATGTGAGTTGTGTTGGGATTGGAAAGGAATTTTCTAGAACTGGAGCCATGTATTACAATGAAAGTAAGATATGCTGCCAATTCTCCTAAGGCAGGGGCCTCTCTAGCGATGTACTAAGTTCAAGGACCAGCATCTATCTTTGCAAGTGATTTGCCAAGACAAACTCTGCCTCTAGAACTGATCTGCTCTTTGAGGAGATTGGCTTATTAAATGTGGTTGGGTTTCACTTAAAAAAAATGGATGACTATATTTTGTAAGAGGTTAACCAGTCATATCCTGAAGAACTTAAGCAAGGCTAACCACAATTCCCTAGGTACAAAACATATTTGAGTAAAACATTTTCAGAGTAAGGTTATAATCATGTAAAATGGTAATATAAGCAAGTGAATGCAATGAAAAGTTATTATATTTCTTCAAGAAATATAAATTCAGAATGAAGAGAAATCAGGAAGGCAAGTTGTAGAACTAAATAAAGTTCGTGTTAAAGAGCAGAGCATGGTATTTGCAGAATAGGTTATCCATAAAGAAATATTTAAAAGTAGGGGATTGCAGAATGGAAACATTTATTTTCACATTCAAGAACTGAGCAGTTAGATAACTTGTCTCAGGATACTATCCATGCAGAAAGGAAATCAGAGCAAGAATTTATTATAACTCAGGGCCAGTAGGCTCTAACTCCTGGTCCATTGTCACCCAACAACTGTTTTATTGATTACACAGCTATACCCATTCATTTACATGTTTTGCAGCTATTCTTGTGCTACAACAAGAGTTCAGTAGTTACAATGGAGAATGGAGAGCCTACAAAGCACATACCATTTACTATTTGGTCCTTTATAGAATAAAGTTTACAGAATAAATTCTCATAAATTCTGAAGGTTCTACACTGGATAGAGTTATATAGGTAGATAACCGAAATTCTTTGAACTACCACTGTATATTAACAAGTTGAGAAATGTCCCTGTGGTGGTATAATAGACAGTGAATGATCTGCTTTTGCACCAAGTATTAATTGCCAGTTGATTGTATGTTGTAGAGATTGTTAATTTTCCTTGGGGGAATGAGCCTTCCAATGCAGATAGAGATGTGTGCATATACATATGAAACTCAATAGAAATGGAAGGATATAAGACAGCTGGCAGAAAAGGCAACATCAGTGGTGCTAGACTCCTCATCTGCCTCATTTGGTCAGCTAACCCTTAGATAGATTACTTTGGACAAATCTGCCAGCCTCAGTTTTCTCAACTCTAATGTGGAAATATAATGCTACCAACGGAAATAGATGTCACTATGGCTTAAAAGAGATTAAAAAGATGTAAGAATCTAGCATAGAGCCTGTAAGTTCTATAAATGGTTCTCTATGTGTGGATATAAGCTTTCTTCTATAGGAAAATGATTCACAGCATTTTAGATCAACCACTTTCTTGAATAGTTTTATATATTTTTTAATTAAATGAAATAACATTCCTACCAGAACAAAAGCCTTGTTGTTAATTCACCAGTATAGAAAAAGTAACAAAATACTCTAAAACTCATAATCCAAACATTTTTCTTTTAAAGAGGCACTTATAAAAAAATCTACATCCAGGGGCTGGGAAGTTGGCTCAGTGGTAGAGTGCTTGCCTTGCATGCATGAGGCCCTGGGTTCAATTCCTCAGCACCTCATAAGCAAAAAGAAAAAACCCGGAAGTGGGGCTGTGGCTCAAGTGGTAGAGCGCTAGCCTTGAGCTGAAGAGCTGAGGGACAGCGCCCAGGCCCAGAATTCAGGCCCCACAACCGGACCCCCCCCAAAAAAAATCTACATCCAAGATACATTTGTATAGTTAGTAATGATGGCTGTACTCGTTCTTCATATACATTTAGATTTTCAAAGCTGTCTTAAATATTTCAATATGTTTATCCTTCATAGGATTATATTTGTATTATAGAATCTTCCTTGTCACACGAAGTTATAAAAACAAATAAATAATTAAGTAAACTATAATGCTAGTTAACAGAATGAAAGTAATTGTTGGGGATGCTTTTGAGGGGCAGGAAGTATGACAGAGGAGGTGAGTGATTGAAACACAGTGTGAAAATGTGTTTTTTTAATATTTTGTATTTTCAAAAATATAAAATAAGCCGGGCACTGAAAGCTCAAGCCTATAATTCTAGCTACTCCGAAGGCTAAGATCTGAGGATCATAGTTCAAAGCCAGTCTGGCCAGTAAAGTCTATGAGACTCTCATCTTCAATAAGCTACTCAGAAAAAGCCAGAAGTGGCACTATGGCTCAAGTGGTAGAGTGCTAGGCCCTGAGTTGAAGCCCCAGGACCAGCACACAAAAATAAGTAAATAAGTAATATATATAATGTAATTCTTATACTAAAAATAAAATAGCCACTATACTCTTACATATGTAAGTGATTTTCAAGTCAAAGGCACCTATTTTTTTTCCTATAAACATTTTCTCAATTCTGCTCCCAGTTTATAGTATACAACAATAAAAGATAACATTGAATTCACATTGTAGGAATGCCCAACACCTGCTTATCTTTTATTTTGCATTAAACTCAGGACATTTTTATATGTTTTAGGAAACAAATGAGACACTCAACAAGAAAACGATGAGTAAGAGTCCAGAATATTCAGCTGTAACTTTATTAAAAACCACTACTGCCACCGTACATAAATTAGATAGAAATATTTTCAATGCAAGCCTATCTATAGCATGTCTTCAAGTGGTGATAGAGTTGTTGGGCATTTTATATTTATGTATCTTCTGGGGGGGCATTATCACGCAAAAGCCCTTCCCCTACGACATTTCTGTAGATGAAAAAAGTTGAGCTCTAAACAAGATGTGAAGATGTCCTCAGAGATACATGAGCAGCTACTGTGTAGCATAGTTAAATAATTTTCAACCCCTGGGTTAGTCCTTTTCCACAATTTGGTGCTTTTGAAAGTATAACTGTGTTTGTACCATCAAAGCACAACTCAAAACAAAGCATGCTGTCAAAATTTAATGGGATAACATCAACGTGACTGGGTGAAAGTAAACTAGGAGGGAGCATCTGATGCCAATTGGGAAGTAGAAGACACACTGGGTGTGAGTTCTGCAATGGATCTCTACATCACCAGCATGAACTACCTGGCAGAAAAATCTCCCTTCAGCAGAACTCTACACCAATGTCCTGCCGTGGGCTATGCTTTCCTAGGCCCATGGCTATAAGGCCTTGACAGGTGATTTTTGTTCTCTATCTGCTAAGTGACATCTCAATGTTCATCAAAAGATTATGTCTGGGAAGTTGGCATTCTTCTACACATGAAAAAAGAATCAAGCATTTTTGCCATCCTGCGTCTTCTTTGCTGAATATGCCTAATTTACAAACAAAAAAAGACAAAAAAATATCAAAGAAATAAGAGCCACATAGATGGAACTATTTCCAGATGTTTATTGATGAAATGATTCTTTGTCAAGTGCTGCTGTGTGTTATATTTTCTTGTAGGCACCAAAAGGGCAAGGACAAGTGATAAGCTAAGTCTTTATTGTTTGAAATTGATAATCATGGTGTAGGTGAATGAGTGGACATTGGGAAAAGACAAATAAGTAAATAAGTGAGAAAAAACTGAGGTGGCAGAAACGCTGGGAAGACAATTATAGGCCCATACCAGGTAGACAAGACTTTAACGAGATGGTCAGAACACTGCTTTGAAGAAGTAACATTTGTTTTTTTAAAAAAAAAGTTGAATGACAGCTGGGCGCCGGTGGCTCACGCCTGTAATCCTAGCTACTCAGGAGGCTGAGATCTGAGGATCGCGGTTCAAAGCCAGCCCAGGCAGGAAATTCTGTGAGACTCTTATCTGCAATAAACCACTAGAAAACTGGAAGTGGCACTGTGGCTCAAGCGGTAGAGCACTCACCTTGAGCTGAAGAGAGCAGGGACAGCACCCAAGCCCAGAGTTCAAGCCCCATGACTGACAAAAAAAAAAAAAAAGCTGAATGACATAAAAGTATTAGCCAAGGAGAGAAATGAGAAAAAAAAGCTACAATTCACAGAAAGTCCTTGAGAAAAGAGTGGGCTTGGTATATTTAAGAGATAATCAGAAAACCAGTTGTAGCTGAAGCTGAGTACACAAGAAGAAGGAAGAGGCTGAGCCATGAAGACAAAGTATCAGCAAGATTCAGGCCCAGGGGAGGTGTCTAGATGTATGCGAAGTTCAATGAGAACTACCAGGAGACATTTAAGCAAAAAACTGAGACGATCTGTTTTATATTCTTAAAATATCACTAGATGTGAATAGGTATAACATTATTTACAACTATCAATGTTATAGAAATTTTATGCTTATTAAAATTATACATATCAGAAAGCATAAATAAGTGAAACCTCAAAAATAATTTATAGCACTCAGCTTGAGGAAGAGGAAGGAAGGGTCTGGGCACTCAGAGCTGGCAGTCTAGATTTTTTGGGGGGAGGGTTGGGAAGGGGGCTTGAACTCAGGGCCTAGGCACTGTTTCCAAGCTGCTTCTGCTCAAGGCTAGTGTGACACCAGTTGAGCCACTTCTGTTCTTTTCTGAATAGTTTATTGGAGATGAGAGTCCCACGGACTTTGCTGCACCAGCTGGTTTTGAACCACAATCCTCAGATCTCAGCCTCCTGAGTAGCTAGGAAGACAGGCATGAGCCACCCACTTTCAGTTGGCAGTCCAGATTTTAACAGGTAAATCCAACATACATTAGTTATGGGTGACTGGA